CTGGGGGGCCGTGGTTACACGGGGGGTTTTATCACCGGTATCCTCACAGTGTTCCATACCGTAGGATGTATGTTTGATGCCAGTCAAAACGCGTAACGGGATGACCGTAACAAACTATGGCGATGTCCCTGCGTGGGAGACTCACTGCTATCTTGTCTTTTCGTACTATTGTACTACTGAGATAAATGCAGTTGAGAACGGCCAAGGAGAAGGGAACGACTGCTGGTCGCTGTACCCCACGGAATTTCTCTTTACACGCCAGGCGAGGTGGCCGAGGGAAGGGAACGCCAGCGGCGATATGCCCACGAATATCTCGCCGCTATCTCATTTGTCGCCGCACTACCGAGATAGCTTAGGACGGCCGAGGGGCAGGGACGACCTCTGTCGATATACCAAACAAAACGTCCTCTTCTAGCTCCCCGAGCTAGCTGAAACGGTCAGGGGGGGGGGGGGGGAAGGGAACGACCTCTGTCGATATACCCCCATTGTACTCGTCTCGTTCGCTAGCCCAGCTCACTCACCGCGAGCTTAGGGGAAACGAACGGAGAGACAGGGAACGGCCAAACCGCTGTATTCTTCTGTCCCTTACTCTATGGTCTGGAGTGACTCGCACGTACTGTCAAAAATGCTTGGAAGTAACCAACAACATTTGACATTCAGTCCGCCGAAACATTACATAAAATAGCCGCTGAGACAATACATGAAACAGTAGTTAATGCCTGTAGATGAATCTGCATTAAACATTAAAAATTAAGCACAGCAATAGTTTGTTTATTGGCCTCCGTATTTTTTTAATACGCGGCGGAATATCTGGCCGAATACATGACAACCTTTACGCAGTCAAGGAAGATCCTGTCCAAATTTGGCTGAAATTGGCCACCAAATTCGGCAGATTTTAGCAAAATGACCACAGATGTAACAAAACTTGCCATATCTGTGTTTTCCCACATTACACATAGTGTATGCTAGCCAAGCAAATAACAAAACCTGTCTTATCTTCAAGTAAACTTGAATCCTCCATCCTGATTGGTCGATCCATGGCAACAAGCCGTGCTACATATAACCATGTAGCACGGCCTCGGTCCATACCAGCACTCCGCATATTGCGCTGTTCCAAGATGCGAGCGACATTCCAGCTGCATATGCTAAACTGCTGAATGTCCGTGTAAAGCGTGCTCGTTCCAACTGTACTGAGCGTCAAGTTCACTTGAAGATAAATTCGTTATCATGCTTGCGCTCGGTGGAACACGGAAAATGTAGTGCGTCTGTGTCCCACATACCACTCGGCCTTTTGGCCTCGTGGTATGTGGGACACAGACGCACTACATTATTCCGTGTTTCCACTCGCGCTCGTGGGATAACTTATAATATCTACGTTTCTGACATTTCACATATTGCAAACGAATCATGCTGAGATAACAAAACTGCCTTATCTCCTTTTCTGACATTGCACGTATTCCAAGCAAATCATGCCGATAACAAATCCTACCATATCTGTGTATCACATTGCACGTAGTGTATGCTAACCAAGTTTATCAAACAAAACTTGCCATAACTCCATTTCCTCGAATACACATATGCATGCGAACTGGCATCGTACCAAGCCGATAACAAAACTGTGTTTCCTCCTCTGTTGCACATAGTGTTTGACAATCGGCTGACGAAATGACCCTCTTGACCAATAGGTGACCATTGGGCCAAATTCTGTGAACAACCCATATGAGGCTTGGTCCACAGAGGCAACTGACCAAGTTTGACACTAATTGGGTCAAGACTGTAGGAGAAGAAGCATTTTATATGTTTGAAGAAAGTGACCACTAGGTAAAGTAGGTCCATTCAAACCTATGCTGGTCACTTAAGATAGAACCTCGGTTCAAGGAAGATCATGTCCAAATATGGCTGAAATCTGCCAAGGAATTTGGCAGATGTAGCACTTTATTTTTGGTCAAGCGACCGTTTTGCCCGAAGAAAGAAAGAAAGAAACGCGATGATCACATTATATCAGCGTGCTTCGCACGGCTGATATAAATATCAAAATCTGTTTTCTGAAGACATACCCTTTTTTGGCTGGTGATGGGAAATTAAGATATCTCTTTGTTGAAACCGGTTTATGACATGATGACCTTAAAAAATGTACTTTTCAAAGTCTTATATTTACAGAATTACAAGTCTGGCTAGGTTAGAAACTTTGTAGCACATAGACAGGACTTCATGTGAAAACTAAGGTCATGTCATGATGACAATAGCTTGTTATTGTCTATATAATTTTGATTCCCCCCCCCCCCATCTTATTAGTATATCTCGAGCATGTCAATTTTTCAATCAAAAATTCTTCTTTTGTAGAAGGTTCGGTAGGTCATAGATATGCACAAAATGTGCGAGAAATACGTGATGTTAATATAATTTCACCAAAATCATATAAGGGAAGGTGAGATCGCTATGAAAACTTAGTTTGTAATTAATGTTATTAGTATGCAAAACACAAAGCGATATCAAGATGATTTGATGACTGATTGTTTTGTGAATTTTCTTTTTAATTTCTATACAAAATTGACACTGTCTGTAATTGGATGGACTTTGAACTTGGTATCTAGAGACAAAGAAACAACCTAGTACAAGAGTGCATCAACAAGTGACTCATGATGAGGCAAACATGAGCTTAAATATGCATTACGGACAGAAAACATTTCTAATTTTTCCATCTTCTCACTAATTTTTATATAAATTAGCAAATTTTCTTTTCTTTTTTGTTTGCTTTGTAGAAGACTAAAATTCAAAATGTTTTCAATTCATGTCAAATAGCCAAGCACCTTCAAAATAATTCTCTGAAGATTTTGATTGATTCTTTCAGTTCAGCCTTAATAAAATTCCACACTACACAGTCTGTCTCTACCTGTTGTACTTTCTTCAGTGGTGCTCAGTACTGTAGTTGTCTCTTCAACTGTAGTTGACTCTGGAGTAGTTGTGTAAACAACAGTGGTTGTCACCTCCTCAGTAGTTGATGGTGCCTCAGTAGTTGATGGTACAGTTGAAGTAACGGTAGTACTCACAACAGTGGTTCTAGCTTCTGTTGTTGAGGCTTCTGTTTATGGTCAAGTTATACTATTTCAATGCTGATTCATTTAGAACAGGCTGTATCAACTTGAGAACAATCAACCATTTCACCTTGCATGTAAACTGTAGGCCTACCCTGTGCAGGGATATACTGTATTCATGTACATGGCCATGCATGTTGATATGTATATGTCTATATGTATATTAAAGATATAGTCCATCATTTGTAATTTGTGCATTTTGTTCGTTTGAAGCAACAAAAGTGCTCAAAATCTAATGAAGGATACTGAACAACTAACCTGATGAAGTTTCAGCTCAGCTTCAGCTGTATATTCCGAGAAAAACAGCATTCTACGATCTCAATTTCAAATCAAAAGTTGCTGAATCATGTTTTGAATTGTTTTGAATTGCAGCTATACGCGATGTCGCGCACTGATTTGACGAATTATAGCAACCGCGCGCGCGCTGTGTGTGTCGTGCCAATGCTTGCGCGCGCTGCACCGAATAACAAAACGAACTACTAATTTAAATTTTCCTACGGTGCGTCTTAAGACGCACCGTTGGAAAGGCCTTCTTTCGTTGATTACTTCAAAATGATAGCTTGCCAGAAAGATTAATTTCACAGGGAGTTTAGTCCACTTACTATCTTTCAACCAAGTATGTTTCTCAACAATAATACGCCAGTTACCTTTTCGGATGGCTGAAAATGATGGACTATAGCTTTAAAGCATATGTAGATTGAACATGAATTAAACTTGAATGTCATCAGTAATTTGGAGAAAACATATGGAATGCTTGCAATTACTAGAGGACTTTTATCCTTGCTTTGTGGTCAATAAACAGATCAATTCACTCTCAGAAAGTGTGAGGCTAATTATTTCATGTGACATATGAACATTTTCTGCCCTTTGTCAACTTTTATAAACACCATTTTGGCAATTTGATATTGTTTGTTTACAAGTACATGTGTATTAAATCCCGACTGGATATATAACCCCTGAATTCCCTATTCATAGTTGTGAATTTATACTTTTTCAAGTAGCGTATTTTTAATTATCAACAATTAGGAAAGTCAGGTTTGCCAGGATACAACACTAAAAATCCTGTTTTGTAGGTGCTTGCTAAAGCGAGACGAATGGGAAGTAGGGGGTGCAGGATTCACATTATAACAATGACACAGAGAGAATCTGAAACAGTCTCTGTAACCAGTTGACCCTTAGGCTGCCAATGCAAAAGTATAAAAACTCTAACCTGTTGTAGACTCCACTGTGGTGACTTCCTTTGTGGTAGATTCAGGGGTAGTGGTCACAACTGTTGTTACCTCCTTGGTCGTTGAAGGTGGGGCAGTCGTTGAAGGTGGGGCAGTTGTTGAAGGTGGGGCAGTTGTTGAAGGTGGGGCAGTTGTTGAAGGTGGGGCAGTTGTTGAGGGAGCCTCAGTAGTTGTCACACGAGTAGTTGACTTCTCCGTTGTACTTGGAGGACCTATAAGATACAGTCCACAAAGTTTCAATTTGAGTTAGGTGAAAACAAAATAATCTTTTGCTCTTTGCTGATCTTTATTTCAATGAGTAACTTATATTCTATTCCACTATCCAGGTCTAAAAGAAAAAAACAACATGTCACAATGTATCCTTATCAAGATCATAATATATAACAAATCTTGAACCTTCAAATTCATGGAAGCACTTGGTAAAAGAGACTTATTGTTCTTCAATTACCTGTTGTACTTTCTTCAGTGGTGCTCAGTACTGTAGTTGTCTCTTCAACTGTAGTTGACTCTGGAGTAGTTGTGTACACAACAGTGGTTGTCACCTCCTCAGTAGTTGATGGTGCCTCAGTAGTTGATGGTACAGTAGAAGTAACGGTAGTACTCACAACAGTGGTTCTAGCCTCTGTCGTGGAGGCTTCTGTTATTGCACAATTGACAAAATGTTTGTCACTTTTAATAGTATAGTTTAAAAGCAATATAATATAGTAAAAGTATAATAAACATAAAATATAATAAGCTATTAATATTCACCATCTCCTTTCAGTGTTTTTTTGTTCATGAAAATTGTGGTACAGATCAATCCAGCAAATTCTTGTTATATTTTAGGCATTTCAGCACCCTTATTGAATGTTTTATCTTATAATGGATTAATATAATTTAAGCATCTGTATATAAATGTGCCGTAAAAATAAATGTCTGGGAAAGTATATTCAACCTTGAGGGCTAAGTAGCCCTTTGAGGGGTAAGTAGCCCTCAAAGTGCCAACAAATGTCAAGTCATTCAATCCTCAAACTTCCCCAAACAGCCCTAGCACTCTATAGTTTTATTGATTTATGGAGTAAACACAATGTAATACAATTTCATACAAGTGGTAAAGGGTTCCATTCCCTACTTGTACGGATATGCTCACAGCCAAACAGCTATGTGTTGACATGCTCAATAGGTGGAGGAACCTAGATTGTCAGCTGCTTGCCAAAGAGGGCATGTCAGGCTCCAAGACTCAAGCGGAATTCAAACTCACAAACCAGAAAACACGGAAAGAACAAAAACAGTCTGTCCAACCATTTCAACATCAGACCCAAATGCCACATGATGTCATATCTAACCTGTTGTAGACTGCATTGTGGTGACTTCCTTTGTGGTAGATTCAGGGGTAGTGGTCACAACTGTTGTTACCTCCTTGGTTGTTGAGGGTGGGGCAGTCGTTGAAGGTGGGGCAGTTGTTGAAGGTGGGGCAGTTGTTGAAGGGGCCTCTGTAGTTGTCACACGAGTAGTTGTCCTCTCTGTGGTACTTGGAGGAACTAGAAAAGCAACTTTGATTGTTTAAATTGTATTAAGTAAATCAAATATAGTTTGTTTTAAAGATCACAATTTCATTCATGCTTAGCACACATATTTTCACAGTGGCCATTTAGTTAGTGGGCATGTAAGGTACTTAGTTACACATAGCAACCAGTGAACTTAGGTTTCTACAATTTTCTACATGAGAATCATTTTTGTAAGTTGTGGTTCCCTCATGAATTAAGAGTCAAGGACCTCTTGCAGCCATTTTTCACATAGTGAATGAAATGCATTGGGAGGTTTTTGTGACAGGTGAGTTTTCTTTTGAGGTTATTTCTTTTGAGGTTATTTCTTTTGAGGTTATTTTTTCGCCATGTGCGTATTTGACATAGTACTACTTGTGTTTTTGTACAAAACCTGCCGTACATTAGCAAAAGTTGATCACATGTCAGTCAAGTCAATCACATGTCAATCACAAGCCAATCACAAGTAGATTACAAGTCCAACCACAAGTCATCCAGTCCCAAGTACCCAACAGCACCCTCCCTTATCCGGAAAAGCATGGCAAATTTTTAAATGTTTAACCCTAACTCCCTAGGCCTTTTTGCTAGGATGTAGCCTCAATCCTGCAAAGTCCTCCAATTGGCCCCATGGAAAAATAGCATATAGCCTCAATCCTGCAAATTCCTCCGTTATTTCTTGAATATGGTCCATGGAGGTATGACCACTGCCTGAATCCTGCAAAATCCTCCGGCTATGACTGTCAATAGGCTGAGGCAGAGGCAGTGACATCCTGGAGCAGTACGGAGGTTGTCAAGTATAATCAAGGACTAAATTTACGCACGGCTGAGCATAAACAACACAAGGTCTGGCCCAGGACCTTGACACGGTGCATCTTCCGAAATCAGCAACGCACTTTTGCCATGTAACCTCAATCCTGCAAATTCCTCCAATTTGCAAAAAGGATTTTGGAGAATTCAGGGCGGTTAGGGTTAAAGAAGTGCACTTTTCAACAAAATTAGCCGAAAAGGAATATCAATTAGTGTTCATACACTTAAGAGGATAAGAATCGCTTAAATAACTGGTTAGGAAAACCACAATTTTTTTTACAAGTTCCATCCAAAAATTAATTTTGAAATTGACAGTCAGTTGCAAAATGACTTTGACAGTCTCAAAAAGCTCAAGCAGTCTTTATTCTTTGGATTAACTCATCTAAAACAAGTCAGGTGTGTTTACAAATACAAATGCCCTGCAACCATGACTGTTTCCATGACATAACACCACTCTTTTAACATCAACTTACATGTACCTTGGTCACATGGAACATTCATTGACAGCATTAGTGTTTTCTGTAGGTTTTATATGAATTAATCCCTATATCTCAGAATAAATACAAGATTTCTATTGTTTCAGCCACTGTGACCTTGGCCCTTGACCTTTTGGCCCCAAATGCAATAGGCTTCTTCTTAGGACTGCCAAGGACAATCCACAAACCAAATTTGAAGTTCATATGTAAAGTATTTCTCAAGTTATTGCGCTGACAAAATTTCTTTGTTTTTGCCACTGTGACCTTGACCCTTGACCTTTCGGCCCCAAATGCAATAGGCTTCTTAGGATTACCAAGGACAATCCACAAACCAAATTTTAAGTTCATATGTAAAGTATTTCTCAAGTTATCGCGCTGAACAAAATTTCTTTAGTTTTTGCCACTGTGACCTTGACCTTTCAGCTCAAAATGCAATAGGCTTCTTAGGATTACCAAGAACAATACACAAACCAAATTTGAAGTTCATTATTTCTCATGTTATTGCGCTGTCAAAATTTCTTTTTTTTTTGCCACTGTGACCTTGACCCTTGACCTTTCGGCCCAAAATGCAATAGGCTTCTTAGGATTGCCAAGGACAATCCACAAACCAAATTTGAAGCTCACATGTAAAGTATTTCTCAAGTTATCACGCTGACAAAATTTCTATTGTTTTAGCCACTGTGACCTTGATCCTTCACCTTTTGGCCCCTAATGCAATAGGCTTCTTATGATTACCAAGAACAATACAAAAACCAAATCTGAAGTTCATATGTTAAGTATTTCTCAAGTTATCGCGCTGACAAGACTTATCCCGACACACATGCACACCTATCCACACAGTCGTGTTTTACTATACACCTGAGGACAATTAACCTATTGTGTTTCCCTTTGTCCCTCTAATTAACACTTTCCTATAGACTAAGCACATAACCGTGCGATCAAGGACCAGTTTTAACAATAGGCACCGTCGTCCGAGGATCAAAGGGCCCTTTGTGCTCCTTTTGTTGTCTGTCCTCGAGTGTAATACAATACAAGAGCACACACGCACACACACCCAGGTTTACGTTACATACCTTGTGTGGACATTCCTTTGTTTTCGTGTAGTTAAGAAAACCCGGTGCAAAAAATAACTTTACTTAAACTGTGAAAACTCTTTTAACCCAATTTTTTTCTATGATTCCCTATAGTGTTTCTCTTCATTCTGCTACGGATAAACCTAACCCAAAAATGCCTCTAAACCTGTTTTCCAGAAAGGGCAAAACGTTATGTGGACACGGCGTAGTCCACATTACGTTAACACAACCTGCATTATGTGGACATCTTTTGTTCACAAGTCCACATAGGGAATGTAAGACAAACTCACACGCTTACATAGGCATAGAAGTGGGGTACTTCCTTTGTTCTCGTGTAATAAATGTTGCAACGTCACACACTTATGTCAAAATGCACTTATTTTAACCATAGTTAATTTCCTGGGCTGAAATTCGGATAATATCCCTTTTTTAAAACTCTTCCATTTGCAACAGATCAACCCAACTAATTCCTAGTTTTTGAGTAAAATCCATATATCTATTTCGTGAAAAACTTGTGGGGTACCAAAACGGTACCTCGCAAGTCAGTGGGCATTCCTTGTGGGGTACCTCCCATTGTTCCGGTACCCCACAAGGTAGTGTTTTTACATGCACACTCATGCTTACATAGGCATAGAAGTGGGGTACTTTCTTTGTTCTCTTGTACTAAAATTTGCAACGTCACACACTTATGTCAAAATGCTCTCATTTTAACCATAGTTAATTTCCTGGGCTGAAATTCGGACTTAATATCCCTTTTGTAAAACTCTTCCATTTGCGACGGATCAACCCAACTTGGAAATTCCTAGTTTTTGAGTAAAATCCATTTATCTATTTCGTGATTTGTGGGGTACCAAAACGGTACCCCGCGAGTCGGTGGGCATTCCTTGTGGGGTACCTCCCATTGTTCTGGTACCCCACAAGGCAGTGTTTGTACACGCACGCACACACACACACCCCCGCGGGGCATAAAAATTGATCACGTTGATTAATATTGAAAAAAAATGTGACTTTTTGACCATGTGGAGTACTCTGAACAAATTGATAAGTGCCTTTTTGTTTTCTTACACAGAAAAACCCCCACAATGAACAGGGTTCTAAACTACACAACTACTGGAATTGGATCATGTAGGCATGGTAGGAAAGAATTTTGCAAATACATTTGGGCTTATTATTGAGATTGACATGATATTGAGACATGGTGTATGTACCATAGTCCCTTGGTGGAGCATTGAAGGTGTGATGGGACCATGCCATGGACACACTTGCAAATGGTGCAGACTTGCAATGGGTGTTGACTCGAAACCATACACAATAAACAAATTCTCCGCGCTGCTGAAATATGGGTATCAATACCGACAGAAGAATCACACTATACCATTGACCAAAAGCACAATGCGAGTAAGTATTCGCCCATATCTAGAATTGAATATTTTCAAATAGCGAGTCCAATGGTTATTCAGGACAACGAAAATATTAGTGATTTGAAAGTATGTTTTTCTCTTAAAATTGCATATGCATTGGAATTAGATGTATATGAAAATATTTCTGTGTCATTGAGTAGTGTTAGGACTGTCAATTTTTTTTCAATCAAAAATGATTTCGAAATAAAAATATATCACATTACAGAAACTGCAGTGGCTATATGTCCCACTGGGGACATTTTGCCATTTGACAGCCACATAAATTCTACAGTCTGTCTGTACCTGTTGTACTTTCTTCAGTGGTGCTCAGTACTGTAGTTGTCTCTTCAACAGTAGTTGACTCTGGAGTAGTTGTGTACACGACTGTGGTTGTCACCTCCTCAGTAGTTGATGGTGCCTCAGTAGTTGATGGTACAGTAGAAGTAACGGTAGTACTCACAACAGTGGTTCTAGCCTTGGTTGTTGAGGCTTCTGTTTATAGTATTGATGTCATAATAATGTTACATGTTGGTTTTTATTTTCAACACAAACAATTCAAATGAACACAATCTAGTTCACATTGCATATAATCTGGTGGCCTACCACTTCTGCTGCTAATAAACTTGATTAACTTTCTCCTCCAAAGTTTGATACAAGTTGTCATAGATGATGGCCCAATTTGACACTTTGTCGTCTACCTTCTTGTGAATTCTTTCTGTGTTAGTCATAATATATTATTAAATCCCTTGTACAGTCACATCTAATTCTCCAGACAGTCGTGGATATAACTGTTTGATAATCAAAATTTTCTAATGCATTGAAAATTGTTTTTACAAGTTCTGTTAGAACACTTGTAGACAATTTTTGCGTTTTTCACGAGTACAAGCAAAAAACCTAGCTCACCTGTTGAGGGTGCCTCTGTTGTTGAGGGTGCTTTGGTTGTAGTCACTGTGTTGTTTAAGAAAGCACAATAAAGTTTTGGTATATATATTATACTACCGTTTTGACTCATGGCCTAATGTAGTTTGACTAAGTTCCTCCAACGATGGACCATTGACGAAGGTCCTGCTAGGATTGAAATGGTTAGGCCGTTCACCTTTTATGATTTGTACGTTTCAGGTCAATCTAGTCAAGTAAGTAGTTTGCAGCAGGTTGACTCATTTTTTTCAACAGATATAAAAGCAGCCGAAATTCAGTCATCATTCACATTGCATTTATTTTCCAATACTGTAGATTAAGCTCCATTTTTTTTTATCATCCTTTTCATGTTTCCTTGATTCATTAAATTCTACAGCCGTTCCATCATTATACTTAAAAAGTAAAGAGAAAATAAGTGACTATAAAAATACCTCCGTGTTCACAACCGTTGAATATCACTTTGTAACCATCTGGGTTTGAGGTGATGATGCAAACTTTGAGTCCCGTCACCAACGCCATACTGGATGGTAGATAGATCTTTTGATCTGTTTTGCCAATAAAGATAGGAGAGCCAGCTTCATCTACTAGAGGTATGTATGGTTGCCTGTCACCTGGTTGAAATTTGAAGGAAACAGTTATGTCTCCCGGTGGGCCTTGTTCTGTCTTTATGATGACCGACGTGATTTCAACCCGTGGGCTGAAGGTAACCCCCAAACATGATCCATTGTGTGGTGATGTAACATCGTTGGGTGGGTTGCTAGGCCGCCACCATTCAGTCGGAGGTAATTCTTTGCCTGATTCTGGGTCTTCGCGTATTATCGTCACATTTGGCAATTTGTCAAGATCATCCGCACATACCTCTGGAGTAGTTGATGGTGGTGAAGTAGTTGACACTGATGTGATTCAAAATAAAAATGAAGGAAATAAAAAACATAAAGATGCATACCATTGAAAATGATGAAAAGATGATGAATGAGAGGTTTGCAGAAACACCATGTGGGAATAATTTTCTCAATAAGAGAATGGTTCTGAAAAGAACCAGAGGTATTTAGAGCCATTCTCTTAGTTTAAGAAGTTATTCCCACATGGTGTTTCCGCAAACCTTTCATTTATTAGAACCTCCACAAAGCAAAGCCTTAACTCTTACTTATGAAACAATTAGTTATTATTTCTGCTTCATTCTTGCCCCTTTCAGTGGTGTCACTGGGAGTCACAGGCTTTGAGTGGGCAGGGGGAATCCCCTTCCCCATACTCCCCTTTGTTACACTACTGGTCCTGTTAATTTTTTGTGAGTGTGATTTTATAAGCAGTAATTTTAATACAGGAATTTATAAAACATCTGTTTATAAAATATGAATCCAGTGTTTTGAATGGAGGTATAAATCTGAAACGACCTTACTAATGAAATCAGAATCATTTTTATACCAATTGTGGCCCAATGCACTGAAATAGTGAAATGGCAAGAGGTACCCAGCAGTAGAAAATTGGGGGAAAAACAAAGTTTGGGGGCCGCTAACCTAAAGCAGCATTGCAAAAAATCCAAACAGTTCAAGACTCAGGCCAAACATTACTGGAGCAATGCTGTAAGTAACTCAAACATTCCCTTTAACCATGCGACTATCAGAATCGAATGTCAGTCTATCCCACAACCTCTAACCTGTTGTGGACTCCACTGTAGTGACTTCCTTTGTGGTAGATTCAGGGGTAGTAGTCACAACTGTTGTTACCTCCTTGGTTGTTGAAGGTGGGGCAGTTGTTGAAGGTGGGGCAGTTGTTGAGGGTGGGGCAGTTGTTGAGGGTGGGGCAGTTGTTGAGGGTGGGGCAGTTGTTGAAGGTGGGGCAGTTGTTGAGGGAGCCTCAGTAGTTGTCACACGAGTAGTTGACTTCTCCGTTGTACTTGGAGGACCTAAAAGATACAGTTCACAAAGTTTTAATTGGAGTGGGGTTAAAAAAAAATAATCTTTTGCTCTTTTGCTCTTTACTGATCTTCATTTCAATGAGAAACTTATTTTCTATTCCACTGTAAAGGCCTAAAGGGAAACAAAAATTCCGATGTATTCCTTATTAGGGTCATAATGAGGGAATAAATGTGTGCTTGGCCGGTCTTAAACTCTCTGTGTAAGACCGGTTGGAGTCTGGACACTGATAATAACCCGAGCTGGATTACCAGACGCCAACTGGTCTTAAAGGGAAGATACAACAGTTGCGAACACCAAAAAATGAAATGATCAAAAAATCACAAAATATTTTACTGGATTGTAAGGGAATGACAGTCCAAAGCATCCTTTAAAATTGTGGCTCTAGGTGTGCTGACATTTTGAGGAAAACTTGACATTTGCAGGAAAACTGGCTTTTTTTCAAAAACTTTTTCTAAGTTTTCATATTTAGTTATTCCACATTTTCTTTGCAATTGATTACACACCTGTGAAGGGGTACAAGCCTGCTAGACTGATTCTCTGACTTTACAATTCCCCAAAGTATATAAATTGTTCCATTTCATCTTCAGTAGGGTCATGGAACCAGACTATAAGAAAATGGTTGGTTTTCTTGGATTTTCCAGCATCTCCGAACCCAAAACGTGAAGCAAGTCTGTTTAACAATACTTGCTATAACATACTAATCTTCCAAATTCATTTATTTCTGACAATTGAAGCAAATGTTGTACATTCCCTTGAAATAAAGTGTTTAATACCGGTCAAGTACATACTTATTCCCATTCATCAATACCTTTTCGGTCAAATAATCAAAACTTTTCAGTCCAAAAGGCAAAAGCGTTCAACAAGTTTACCTCATGTTTTTTGGGACACCCCTCAAGCATTATTATGGTATGTCCAGTCTCGTGAGTATTGTAAAAAAACTCCTTATAAATTACGGAGATTGGTGTGTGCATCACACGCACTAGCAATGTGGCACATAACGTAGCTGTGCCAGTGTATTGTAAATTTCGGACTACGAAATTCTGAACCACCGGTAGTATTACGCATGCCTATGTGAGCCAAATTGTGACCTTCAACCGATAAAACGGTAAAGCACCAGATTTCATAGGAGTCCAAATTTCATGTGACTAGTGTTTAACACCAGCCAGCCATGTCTTTATTAACCGTTGAAGACCAGCCACGTGACATACTCTCGACCAAGAGGAATGGGGTAAAACTGTCTTAAGTATTTAAGAATATAAATTACATCTTGCACCTTCAAAGGAAGCACTTGGTAAAAGAGAATTATAGGTCTTGAATTACCAGTTGTACTTTCTTCAGTGGTGCTCAGTACTGTAGTCGTCTCTTCAACTGTAGTTGACTCTGGAGTAGTTGTGTACACAACAGTGGTTGTCACCTCCTCAGTAGTTGATGGTGCCTCAGTAGTTGATGGTACAGTTGAAGTAACAGTAGTACTCACAACAGTGGTTCTAGCCTCTGTCGTGGAGGCTTCTGTTGTTGGGAAAATGATCAAGTGTTTTTCACTTGTAATCGTCAAAAGTATAAAAGACAAGTTTCTTGCATATATTAAGCTATTAATTTTACCAATTTCTTTTCCGTATGTTTTTTCCCTGGACGAATGTAATGCAGATCATTTCAGGGAGTTCTCCGAATATTCTAGGCATTTTCATTTCTTTATTGAATGTTTTATCTTCAGCATTTGTATATATAAACATGCCATAATATTATATGTCTGGGACAGCATGTATAACCCACTTAGCCAACAAATGTCAAGTCATTCAATCCTCAAACTTCCCCAAACAGCCCTAGCACTCAACAGTTTTATTGATTTATGGAGTAAATACAATGTAATACAATTTCATACAAGTGGTAAAGGGTTCCATTCCCTACTTGTACCGATATGCTCACAGCCAAACAGCTATGTGTTGACATGCTCAATAGGTGGAAAACCAAGATTGTCAGCTGCTTGCCAAAGAGGGCATGTCAGGCTCCAAGACTCAAGCGGAATTCAAACTCACAAACCAGAAAACACGGAAAGAACAAAAACAGTCTGTCCAACCATTCCAACATCAGACCCAAATGCCACATGATGTCATATCTAACCTGTTGTAGACTGCACTGTGGTGACTTCCTTTGTGGTAGATTCAGGGGTAGTGGTCACAACTGTTGTTACCTCCTTGGTCGTTGAAGGTGGGGCAGTTGTTGAAGGTGGGACAGTTGTTGAGGGTGGGGCAGTTGTTGAAGGTGGGGCAGTTGTTGAAGGTGGGGCAGTTGTTGAAGGTGGGGCAGTTGTTGAGGGTGGGGCAGTTGTTGAGGGTGGGGCAGTTGTTGAGGGTGGGGCAGTTGTTGAAGGTGGGGCAGTTGTTGAGGGAGCCTCAGTAGTTGTCACACGAGTAGTTGACTTCTCAGTTGTACTTGGAGGACCTAAAAGATACAGTTTACAAAGTTTTAATTGGAGTGGGGTTAAAACAAAATAATCTTTTGCTCTTTTGCTCTCTACGGATCTTCATTTCAATGAGAAACTTATTTTCTATTCCATTGTAAAGGCCTAAAAGGAAACAAACATTCCTGATGTATTCCTTATTGGGGTCATAATGAGGGAATAAATGTGTGCTTGGCCGGTCTTAAACTCTCTGTGTAAGACCGGTTGGAGTCTGGACACTGATAATAACCCGAGCTGGATTACCAGACGCCAACTGGTCTTAAAGGGAAGATACAACAGTTGCGAACACCAAAAAATGAAATGATCAAATAATCACAAAATATTTTACTGGATTGTAAGGGAATGACAGTCCAAAGCATCCTTTAAAATTGTGGCTCTAGGTGTGCTGACATTTTGAGGAAAACTTGACATTTGCAGGAAAACTGGCTTTTTTTCAAAAACTTTTTCTAAGTTTTCATATTTAGTTATTCCACATTTTCTTTGCAATTGATTACACACCTGTGAAGGGGTACAAGCCTGCTAGACTGATTCTCTGACTTTACAATTCCCCAAAGTATATAAATTGTTCCATTTCATCTTCAGTAGGGTCATGGAACCAGACTATAAGAAAATGGTTGGTTTTCTTGGATTTTCCAGCATCTCCGAACCCAAAACGTGAAGCAAGTCTGTTTAACAATACTTGCTATAACATACTAATCTTCCAAATTCATTTATTTCTGACAATTGAAGCAAATGTTGTACATTCCCTTGAAATAAAGTGTTTAATACCGGTCAAGTACATACTTATTCCCATTCATCAATACCTTTTCGGTCAAATAATCAAAACTTTTCAGTCCAAAAGGCAAAAGTGTTCAACAAGTTTACCTCATGTTTTTTGGGACACCCCTCAAGCATTATTATGGTATGTCCAGTCTCGCGAGTGTTGTAAACAACTCCTTATAAATTACGGAGATTGGTGTGTGCATCACACGCACTAGCAATGTGGCACATAACGTAGCTGTGCCAGTGTATTGTAAATTTCGGACTACGAAATTCTGAACCACCGGTAGTATTATGCATGCCTATTTGAGCCAAATTGTGACCTTCAACCGATAAAACGGTAAAGCACCAGATTTCATAGGAGTCCAAATTTCATGTGACTAGTGTTTAACACCAGCCAGCCATGTCTTTATTAACCGTTGAAGACCAGCCACGTGACATACTCTCGACCAAGAGGAATGGGGTAAAACTGTCTTAAGTATTTAAGAATATAAATTACATCTTGCACCTTCAAAGGAAGCACTTGGTAAAAGAGAATTATAGGTCTTGAATTACCAGTTGTACTTTCTTCAGTGGTGCTCAGTACTGTAGTCGTCTCTTCAACTGTAGTTGACTCTGGAGTAGTTGTGTACACAACAGTGGTTGTCACCTCCTCAGTAGTCGATGGTGCCTCAGTAGTTGATGGTACAGTTGAAGTAACGGTAGTACTCACAACAGTGGTTCTAGCCTCTGTCGTGGAGGCTTCTGTTGTTGGGAAAATGATCAAGTGTTTTTCACTTGTAATCGTCAAAAGTATAAAAGACAAGTTTCTTGCATATATTAAGCTATTAATTTTACCAATTTCTTTTCGGTATGTTTTTTCCCTGGACTATTGTAATGCAGATCATTTCAGGGAGTTCTCCGAATATTTTAGGTATTTTCATTTCTTTATTGAATGTTTTATCTTCAGCATTTGTATATATAAACATGCCATAATATTATATGTATGGGACAGCATGTATAACCCACTTAGCCAACAAATGTCAAGTCATTCAATCCTCAAACTTCCCCAAACAGCCCTAGCACTCAACAGTTTTATTGATTTATGGAGTAAATACAATGTAATACAATTTCATACAAGTGGTAAAGGGTTCCATTCCCTACTTGTACGGATATGCTCACAGCCAAACAGCTATGTGTTGACATGCTCAATAGGTGGAGAAACCTAGATTGTCAGCTGCTTGCCAAAGAGGGCATGTCAGGCTCCAAGACTCAAGCGGACTTCAAACTCACAAACCAGAAAACACGGAAAGAACAAAAACAGTCTGTCCAACCATTCCAACATCACACCCAAATGCCACATGATGTCATATCTAACCTGTTGTAGACTGCACTGTGGTGACTTCCTTTGTGGTAGATTCAGGGGTAGTGGTCACAACTGTTGTTACCTCCTTGGTCGTTGAAGGTGGGGTAGTTGTTGAAGGTGGGGCAGTTGTTGAGGGAGCCTCAGTAGTTGTCACACGAGTAGTTGACTTCTCAGTTGTACTTGGAGGACCTAAAAGATACAGTTCACAAAGTTTTAATTTGAGTGGGGTTAAAACAAAATAATCTTTTGCTCTTTTGCTCGCTACGGATCTTCATTTCAATGAGAAACTTATTTTCTATTCCATTGTAAAGGCCTAAAAGGAAACAAACATTCCTGATGTATTCCTTATTGGGGTCATAATGAGGGAATAAATGTGTGCTTGGCCGGTCTTAAACTCTCTGTGTAAGACCGGTTGGAGTCTGGACACTGATAATAACCCGAGCTGGATTACCAGACGCCAACTGGTCTTAAAGGGAAGATACAACAGTTGCGAACATCAAAAAAGAAACAATCAAATTATCAAAACATATTTCACTGGATTGTAAGGGAATGACAGTCCAAAGCATCCTTTAAAATTGTGGCTCCAGGTGTGCTGACATTTTCAGGAAAACTTGACATTTTAAGGAAAACTGTTTTTTTTTTCTCAAAAACTGCTTCTAAGTTTTCATATTTAGTTATTCCACATTTTCTTTGCAATTGATTACACACCTGTGAAGGGGTACAAGCCTGCTAGACTGATTCTCTGACTTTACAATTCCCCAAAGTATATAATTGTTCCATTTCATCTTCAGTAGGGTCATGGAACCAAACTATAAGAAAATGGTTGGTTTTCTTGGATTTTCCAGCATCTCCGAACCCAAAACGTGAAGTAAGTCAGTTTAACAATACTTGCTATAACATACTAATCTTCCAAATTCATTTATTTCTGACCACTGAAGCAAATGTTGTATATTCCCTTTAAACAAAGTGTTTAATACCAGTCAAGTACATATTTATTCCCATTCATCAATACCTTTTCGGTCAAATAAGCAAATCTTTTCAGTCCAAAAGGCAAAAGTGTTCAACAAGTTTACCTCATGTTTTTTGGGACACCCCTCAGCATTATTATGGTATGTCCAGTCTCGCGAGTGTTGTAAAAAAACTTTTTATAAATTACGGAGATTGGTGTGCGCATCACACGCACTGGCGATGTGGCGCATAACGCAGCTGTGCCAGTGTATTGTAAATTTCGGACTACGAAATTCTGAACCAGCAGCAGAACACCGCGAGCTGAGTGTTGATTGCGGAGGTGCACCAGTCTATGTGTGGACGACCTAGGATCGAGAAGATCTGACTTGCGATTCTCTTGTTCGATGACCACTCCGTGGGAATTATTTTGCCCCTGGAGAGAGAGTCCGCTATGTCGTTTTCCGCACCAGGAACGTGAATGACACGTAGATCTACTTTGTGTCTGGTTAGCCACTAACACATTTCCCAAGTCAGGTAGCGCAGCTGGGGTGACCTTGTACCGCCCCATTTGTTAATATATGCTACCACTGTCGTGTAGTCGGTCTTGATTAAAACAGACCGGCCCACTGCGTCTGCTTGAAAGTGGTGTAAGGCGTTGACTGCAGCCTAAAGCTATAGAACATTGATATGTAGGGGGGAGGGGAGGCTCCCCAGCCCTCGTTGGAAGCGTCAGTGGAGATTATGGCGTGAGGATCCCCTCTGGGGAAACTCCATCTGCACCGAATGTTCTGTTCCAATGGCCACCACCGAAGGTGTGGCCAAATGACTTCGTCGATCGAGATTACTAGAGAGATTGGATCTGTCTCGGGTCAGTCATGTGCCAGAAGATGCATTTGCAAAGGACGCATCCTAAATCCGCACCAGGGGACCAGGTCCACTTAGCTGGCCATGATCCCTAGAAGTTTCAGCCAAGCTTGCGCTGGGGCGACTTGAACAGATAGGAAAAGTTTGACGCACTTCCGCAGGCTGGTAACGCGTTCCCCTGTGGGGACGGCTATGCCCCTGCGTAGATTGATCTCTGTTCCCAGAAAAGCGATTTCCTGGGACGGGATTAGTTGGGACTTCTTCTCGTTGATGATGAAGCCTAGCCTCATTGTCAACGTATAAGTATCTCTCAAATTTTGAGCAGTTTCGTCTTTTGATTTTCCCACTATCAGTCAGTCATCGAGATCCATAAAAATCATTGTTTTCTCGATGAAGACATGATGCAACTGCCCGCACAACCCTGGTAAACACTCTTGACGAGGTTGATAACCCGAAGGGAAGGGCAGTGAATTCGTAAGTGCGCCCCTGAAACCGGAAACGTAGGAATCAGGAGTGCTCTTGGAAGATGGGGACATGTAGGTATGCGTCTTTCAGGTCTAAAGACGTCCCCCACGCTGGCGTGGGCAATGACTCTAGAACTACATGGAGTGTTTCCATTTGGAAACGCTTGGGTCTGACAAACCTATTGAGCAGTTTAAGCCAGCCACCTTCTTTGGTGTTAGAAAGAAGGACAGGAAGCCTATGAATTGTTCCATTGGTGGTACCAAGCGGACTGCTCTCTTCTCGATAAGGGATGATATCTCTTGTTCGAGAGCTAATCGTTTGTCTGTGTTTGTCGGAACTAGTGTTTTGCGAACACATATTTCCGACCAAGGGGTGCTTGTAGATTCTAGTTGATAGCCGTGGCTGACTATAGAAA